AAAGCACATCAGACCCACATTATTGTTATAAACAGACAGACATTTGTATATATTTCTGAATACCTGTATGGAGGGGATGTTTAAGGATTACAACTTTCGCAGGTAGGAAAACCATTGACCTTAATATTATATAACTTGTGAAATCCATGAAAAGCACAGGAGGTTTGGGGAGAACAACCAGATTCACAGAAATGCACAAACATGGGGGGGAAGAGAACTTCAGCATTCTGTTCATTGACCGAGGCTCGCTTTTTTTACATACAGAGATGAGGCAGTGGGGACTTATAGTATTTGTGAGGGTGAATCCAAATCCTGCTACAGGTCCAGTTGGACATGACACTAAACCAAACTATTTAAGTATAATTGAATGCATGAGAGAATGAGACAACAAACAGATACACACTGCATTGCCAGTATAGAAGGAGATCTCTGAAGAGTTGGCAGCTGGAGCTGAGACTGAAACTGGGACTCTGTCCAGAAAAAAGCTGGAATGTATGGAGACCACAGGGTCAATCTAAACATCCATTTGTAAAGCTTAAGTGGGAACAGACGTGTGTGTCTTTCTGTGAAATAGTGCAGACCATAACGTGTGTTAATTTAAACAGTATGTGCCAGATCCAGGGGTCTGTGCAAGTGTGTAACCAGTGTGTGTGTGTGTGTGTGTGTGTTTACTACTTGAGCAGAACAGTTATCCATCCCTCAGTCTATAAACATTCCCAAATGTGTGTGTGTGTGTGTGTGTGTGTGTGTGTGTGTGTGTGTGTGTGTGTGTGTGTGTGTGTTGAATTAGCAGCCCTTTTCTTCCTCTCAGCATTCTTTTAAATATTTACGGCAGCCAACCAAAGAGGGTTGTTCTCATGTCAGCATCCGTCTCAGGCCAACCAGATAGGCAGAGCCCAGCCAAAAGGAGCTACATAATTATTAATTATTAATTAAAGATCCCCTTCAGACATGTATTATGACATATACAAATAATATGCTTGGAACAATAATGTGCGTCTGATGTGTTTTTTTCTGCAAACAAGTATAATTTCCACATTAAAATCCTTGAAAACATATATACTCTAGAGTCTACCTCTTTATAAATCCCAGAATCTCTGAATATGCAAATTTTGTTCATTTCTAAAGTTTTGCTGCTGGACACAAGATGTCTCCTACTTCACTGTAGAGTCCATTCTCAGTGGATGTGCACTGGTGGCTTCATGTTTCTACATCACACTGCACAAGTTGCATACTGGACCAGGACTGGCTTCATAAATATTTGTGATGTCACAAATCAGGCTCCTATGCTGTATATAGTGTACATACAACCCTATTTCTATTTTCTATACCTCTGGAGTTGCTGTAACAAGGGAATTTCCCCAGTGTGGGATCAATAAAGTCTCTCTATCTTATCGTATCTTATCTTAAAGTCAAAGAGTAGTTTGAAATGAGGCATGGAACCACAAAAGCACTAACAGGTAACACTTCTTTAGAGAGAGAGAGAGAGAGAGAGAGAGAGAGAGAGAGAGCAACAAAGGAATCAAATGGTGACCTTAAAATGGGATTTGTGTGAGAACAAAGAGACAGAACAATAAGGACATGCATTAAAGACACATAACACCTCTTAGATAAAAGGAAAATGCATTCAATAGTGCAAGCAGATAGCAGAGAACAAAGATCCAGAGGAACATGCACAAAAGCATGACACCTTAAACTGTTTTACTGAAATAACAACAGAGGAGAAAAGTGGATTGAAAATGAGAAGATCCCTTTTGTCAAAAGTCAGAAAGGTGCATTTGCAGAGGACAATGCTCCTGTCTCTGGACCAGGGGCCTGTATCAGTGGTCTTGTTTGCTCTTTTTAGGTTTAACTGGTCTCACCAATATTTTAACCACAGTATATCACCATGGTAACCTAATACTGCATGGCTAACCTGCCCGGGCCTAAAGCAAACACGTGTTGTGTTATATTGTTAAGTTGCAAAATGATACTAGGATCTCAAGTTCCCCCACTAAAGCCCTATTCACATGGGACTAGTATTACCTGGGGACCTCATGTGATTTAGTAATTACCCCACCCCGTCTGTGTTTCGTGCGGCGCATTCGCACGGGATAAGCGAAGTCTGTGTTTTAACTCGAATTTACTGACATTATCCCCCGGATATAATGTCAAGGCTCTGCGTAATCTATGCGTAACATCCGCTTCCTGGACAACAGCAATGGCTGCAAAGAAAAAAACCCAGCATTGGACGCGCGAAGAGACGCTCAGTTTAATTGCTGTGTGGGGTGAACCACATTACCAAAAGCAATTTGATCAAATGGTGCATAACCACACAGTTTGGGAAATTTACAAAGACCTCTTGCTCTGGTGCCTGTCTGTACAGGACTTCGGAGATTGGACCAAGTGTAAAGAAAGGTTGGACTACCTGCGAAGACTCAAGCCTCAAAAACAATAAGAAGACCGGATCAGACCCCATTAAGTGTCCCTATTTTGATGAACTGGACACTGCCATGCATGCTGGATTACATGCTGCCATGCACGGGACTAATATTATCACATGACTTCACACATCGCATGCATTATCTTATGTTATTTTGCTTTAGATGTCATTATGGTTTACATATGTTTATTTAGTTCTTGCATGTATTGTTGAATTTCAGTTGAGATTTTGACCAGGACACAGTCCTCAGTGAAATGAGGACTGACATCCACCTCTCCATCTCCTTATGCAGACTTTCTCGCTCTTTATACCACATCACCTTCGACTGCATGTGTGTCCAGAAGAGGACACTGATAGATAACTACAGCGCAGAAGCAGAGGGCCACTGACCAAGCGGCAGTATTTGACGACTCAGGGGTGAGACCGCGTTAAAAGTAGTCTACATCACGGTAATAACTAAAGCGAGTGCAATGAAAGTGATTTTGTGACAATATTCACCTTGGTGGTACTGACTTAATTTGGGCACAGGCAAAGGTATAAATCGGCACCTGTTCACAGTACAACACTTCCTCATAAAAAACATGAATAATTTATTTCATGAATAATAGTCTGCTGAGCTGTCAACATTATGCCTATATACGTTAGTTTTGTACTAAAGTGAACGTTACTGCTCTGACTCTGTTGGGGTCTGTGAACCCTTAGTACTTATATATAAATATTTATTATTTATGTATATGTTTGTCCTTCCAGCGAGGAAGCTGTAAACTTTCTGAAAACCGCTGCATCTCTCTGACCCTCTGTTTGTTTGTGTCCAACAAGCACAGCTGTGTGCCTCTCTTTCCCGCTCTCCCGCTCTCTCCTTACTTTCTTTCCTTGTCCTCTCTTTTCACTCAGGCTCCTCTGTGCTGGACCATCAGCCACCCCGGGACCTCTCTCTCTCTCCCCTGGCTGTCAGCTTTGATCTGGATCTCTACCTCCAGGAGATTCTACCTCTCCCTTTCTCTCTTTCTCTGTGTTGTGTGCATGTTGTCTCTCTCTCACTCTGTGTTTCCTGTCTCCTACGTGTGAACGGTGCGCTTGAACTTTGCCTCTTGTGCATTTGTGCAGTCTGTCCTCTTCCAGGTCTCCATGGTGGATAGGAAGTTGTATGGCTCAGGTCTGTTTCCTGAAGTTGCTTGACGTCTCCCGGATCCATTTTTCATATATTTACAGTCTTTCTATAATTTTGTCCGATTGCCCATACTGTAATTTTAGTATGTTGGTCTATTCTGTACATACAATATCTATTGCACATCTGTGCATCTTGGGAGAGGGATCTCCCCTCAGTTGTTCCTTCCATTTTTCCCCTATTAAAGGGTTCTTGGGTTATTTCCCCCTTATCAATTTAAGGAGTGTATCATACACTGTCCAGACTGCGGAGCCTCTCACAAAAATATGTGATTTGTGGTACTGTGCTGTATAAATAAAATTTGGATTTGACTTGACTAATGGACTGAACGTACTAGGAGTCAGAGGACACTGAACTACCCGCAGAACAACCTCATTCCTCTCAGTCTGCAACAGAATGATGTCCTCCCATTTGTGCTAGTTAGCAATAAGTATTACTGAGTAGTGTTTATCTCAGTCAGATTTCCAAACAAAGATCTTCCATATGAACTTTATTACTTAGGTACTTAATACAAAAAGGGTGTAGGGAGTGCATATATCAGGAGGCCTCCATCATGAAACTCTTCTCATATCAGAAAAAAAGTGGAAAGTGTGTGGGAATAAGCTCACATATTCTAGATAATTAAATCTGATCAGTTAATTTAGTCAACTGAAATCATGATTATAAGTTCTATAAGTGATTATTATGTTTCAGATATTTTTTATTGTGAAGCAAACAGTATATCATAAATACAACCATCTTTGGTTTATGCAATGCTTCGTTGTTTTGTAACATAAGTAACAAAGGTGTACTATAAGTAAGTAAATAAATGAAAAACGATAGATGGGAGAAAAAATAGAAAAGTATACAAAAATAAGTAAATAAATAAAATAGAATAAAGTCAATAAGTAAATAACTCCCTTCTCTAAGCAATTATTAAAGAGTAACTAAACCCCCAAACCTGCTGAAAATCCAAGTATATGGGTATTTACCAGTGTTGCTGATTGATTCATGTCCAATCTTCTCAATTACCTGTTGTTTTTTTCTTGTTCTTTTGCCTTCTTTATATTCTTTAGAAACACAAATGTACTGTTCATGAGATGCCATTATAGCAAAATAAAAATAAAAAGTCAAGTTGAATGAAAAAGAAGAAAAGAATGTGTGCGTAAAAATCCCTTTGTTTTGTGTTTATGGAACTTTGTATGTATAGGATAAAGTGTATTTCAACTTCAGAAAAGACTTGAGACGCCACGATAACTTAATGTAGCGTGCGTAAAACATTTAACAGCGTGCGTAAAATCATGTTGGCCTGTGTAGCTGAACAGAGGTTTGATGAAACGGTTCCATAACTGTTCATTCAAAGAGGGAGGGAGGAGCAGGGGTTGTGGGATCCATGCAGAGAGGGGTGGGAATCGGCAGAGTTTAGGGGCGCGCCTCTCCTTTCCTAAACGGTCTGACTGCTCGCTCCTGCCCAGAGCTCATTCCTCTCTGCCCTTTCTCCAAACTCGTGCGTAACGGTAGAGCGGAGGATGAACTCTCTAGTGAAATGGGCGCTCATCCTCTTCGTCCTCGTCTCCATCATTCTCAACATCGTCCTGATCGGCATCCATTCCGGCAGGGCGCCCAAATGTTCCGCTCAGCGCGTCCACCCGCTGCGGGGCCAGCACGACGAGCGCAGCCTCGTGTTCGCTGACCTCACCCAGGAGGAGTACTTGCAGGTCCAACAGTACATGCTCAAGCAGAAGGACTTGGACATATCCACCAACCAGATCACCAAGCCGTCGAAAAATTTCTTGTTTTTAATAGACCTATCTCTGCCCAAGAAAGCGGACGTGTTGGCTTACTTAGACCTGGAAACTGGTCGCAAGCCGGTAAGAGAGGCGACGACGGTGGTCTTCTACGGCGCCCGTGGCTACATTAAGGAGTACGTAGTGGGACCTCTTCCCAACCCGACATACCACAGAGATGTCACTAAGGAGAGATACAAAATGGACCTGCCTATCACCGCGCGCACGGTCACCATCGGGGAATACGTTTTGCTTTTCCAGTTTCTTGAAATGGAGGTCTTCTCCAAACTGAGGGTGCTCATGAAAGAGAGCTTCGACGTGAGTGGGCACGAGGGTCTGAACGCATTCGAGCAGATGCCCCGCGGGGTCCGATCCGGGGACAGAAAGACTTGGATATCTTTCTTCAGGAATATGAACGGCATGTACATCCACCCGGTGGGCTTTGAGTTGCTGCTCAACCACGAGAGCGTAAACGCGTCCAGCTGGAGAGTGGAGCGGCTGCTTTATAACGGCCAGTACTTTGACACCGCAGAAGAACTTCAATCAAAATATAATGCGGGGTCTGTGAAGAAAATAGTCTACAAGAAGGGGCCTAACTACGGTTCGCTGAAACCCAAGCACAAGCCTCTGCAGATCGGCCCGCAGCTGTTTTACGCCGAGGGCAAGCGCTACAGCGTCAGCAACAACCACGTCCTGTACCTGGACTGGAGCTTCGCCTTCGGGATCAGCTCTCTCACGGGCATGAGGGTTTTTGATGTGCGTTTCAAGGGCGAGAGGATTGTGTACGAGCTGAGCGTGCAGGAGGCCATGTCGGTGTACGGTTCAGTGACTCCGGGGATGATGATGACCAAGTTTCTGGACACAAGCATCGGGATAGGGCGCTTTGCGCACGAACTGGCCCGTGGCGTGGATTGCCCCTACGAAGCCGAGTACGTGGACACATACCGCTACATCGATATCCCACACCCGGTCCGGTTTAGGAATTCAATCTGCATCTTTGAGCACAACATGGGCCAGCCCCTGCGGAGGCACTTCTCTGACTTTTTCCACAACAGTTACGGAGGGATGGTGAACAGCGCCCTGGTGTTCAGGACCATCACGGCTATAGGGAACTATGACTACATGTGGGACTTTATCTTCTACCAGAGCGGCTCAGTTGAGGCGAAGGTGCACGCCACGGGGTACATCTCCTCCTCCTACCTGGTGGAGGGTAGTCTGAAACACGGACACCAGGTGGCGGAGAATGTGCTTGGGAACATCCACACCCATTTCATCAACTTCAAGGTGGACCTGGATGTGTTGGGTGAGTGGCTACATTTAAACCTGTTTATCTGTGCAGGGCAGAGAGCTACAACAGCCGCACCAGAAAAAGAAGGGGATCAGTATCATCTTATAACGGGAAGGTTTATTGTTATAACAGGATGTTTGTCAGGTTAAAACAAGATATTTTCATGCTATTACATCATACAAACGTATCACTTTATTACAAGAAACCTTTCCATTAAATGTCTTATTCCCCTTCAGACGAAATACAAATAATCTGCTTTTACCACAATAAGTATAATTTCCACAATAAAATCCTTAAAAAGGCAAATACTCCTCATTATAAATCCCAGAATCTCTGAATATACAAATGTTGTTGATTTCTAAAGTTTTGCTGCTCCTACGATGAATATGAAAACATCCTTCTATTGTCTCTCTGCTCAGACAGCATTTAAACATCACACTGTAGGAACAAGAAGAACAACTGATGTTTGACTGGAGGTGGACTTTAAAATACCCATGGCAGATTCTTTACAAAACAAATTTGGGCTTTGGTCTCCAACCAGTGATGGATTTTTCTTCCTTGCTTGCCCAAAGCAAGCAGCCAAAGTACTGTTGACCGTGATGATAATTCTGCTGTTATCAGAGGCTGCTGTGACAACATGGACTAGATGTGAAAAAGGGCTGTGTGCCCATTGAGGTTTGACATGAAACTAATGTGGGAATAGATATGCAAAATATGCATAGATAAGGGAAAAAAAGTATATATAAGACTTTATATTAAGGTACACATTAGGGCTGCATAATGGATAAGTGCAATCGCAGAATTGCAGATGTTTTAAAAACGGTAAAATGTGTGACAAACAGAATTATTATGAAGCACTATAGGGCTGCAGAGATGCTGTGGGCTACAAATCAAGTTCTACAGATGTAAGAAAACTTGCTTGTTGGGTACAGACCCCAACAAATCACATTCATGATTTTTTTCAATTAAAGTTAAATTTATGATGCCAAATTGATCATTGCCACACTAATTGTGAATCATATCTCAATATCTGTCTCAATATCGCAATATGATGTTTTTACCATATCGCACAGCCCTAGTACACCTATTAACCATGCATATTAGTAGCATATTGGCTCTTTATTATAAAGCATTTATTAATGGCTCATTCTGCTTGTCCATATTCTACAACTACTAGATCATTAAGTGAGAGTTTTCCCTCAACAACATCGCTAAATGCAGTTCTGCTTTGGCTCAGAAACTACAAATATTATTGCAAACTTTTTCCCATGTTTTCCTCTGCAGGATTGAAGAATGTTTTCCAGACCAAAGACATGCAATATGTCAATATGTCGCTGCCATGGATGCCTGAGCACTTCGCTATGGTCCCTCAGTTGGTGGAGAAGCAACTCAAAACAGAACAGGTCTGTCTTCATCTTCTTCCACTTCCTTCAAATGTTCCCTTGCCTTTAGGTTTCATATACTGGTTGACAGATATAGGATATGTTCAGTGGCCAATGCCAATACTTAGAAACCAGGGTGACAGATGGCCAGTATATAATGCTGATATCAGAACAAAGAAAAGTCAGATATAATCCCATTATTCCATGCAAATTCAATCTAATATACATGCTTATCTCAGCCAGTAACGTGTTGTTTTAGATGGATTTTTATTAATTGATGAAATATAAAAATACATAGGGTTATGTTGTAGATTTCAGGTAGTGACGTCATTCAACTGCATTGTTCTATACAATAGCCAGTATGAGTTTTAGATCAGATTTGCTGTCATTTAGGAGAAACATGTTACATTTAGGAAAGACGATGGTGACAAACATTTACAGCAGAATGCATGTGAGTTATAGTAGAAGATAGAGGACTGCATTGGGATTGGGATCCGCAAATCTCATCAAATATAAAAAAAAAAAATTGTCAGGGATTTTGTTTGCGCCAACCAGAAAGATGAAGTCAACAAATGAAGTTGAATAGAGGATTGGAGATATTTCTAAGTTGTTACTAGTGCAGTAAAATAATGTCTTTTCATCTGTGGGACATGAAAAGACACCACATCTCTGTTGTGCAGTCGGTAATGGTCAGAATGCTTGCGAGAGAAGGCGGGAGTGGAACACACACAAAGTGAGAGCGGGTGGTAATGGTCAGAAAACACTGGAAGTGAGTGGTAGCGGGATTAAGAAAACAGTCCCATGCAGTGTTGTAGCATAGTGCTCCAAAAGAAAGGGTGTGAGCGCAGGCGTCAGCTAATGCAGATTAACTCAAAATGCAACTAATGTAACTAGTCTAGTACTTACTGCCTCATTCTGTGCATAATCAGCATCACATGACTGAAAAAACGTATTGCAGTGCGCCTAGCTAATAGTGATCCTGTACCTGGGTGAGTGAGTTTCACCTAGAGCTTACAGAGAGGCTTCACATCTGAAAATGCAGGAGAAAACAAGAGCACCACATTTTGTAGCTATATATAAGAATTCATCTTTATATAGCTATCAAGAACATGTGTACCTATTTATCTATTACATTTATGATAACCCTTCATTCATCAGTTCCAACATGTATGTCCACTGAAATCATACATGTACCATCAATATATTGAAGACTTCCAAAAAGAATGTCTTCAAAGTCTTCACCACATATCTTATGAATCTTGACAGACATGGATGTAAAACTGCAATTTGACTAGTTGGTGGAATACAACCGCGGTGCAGTAATTCTACTTTTTTGCATAAAAGGGTGACTTATTGTGGTTCAAGTTGGACTTCCATTAATCAGTGATTTAATAAGTACAACTTATTATGTTTTATTGTTATGTTTTATTATTGTGGTGATATTGCAGGATACCAGGCAGCTCAAGAGGCTGTTTTATAACCCATTTATCAATTATTGCCAGTAACCCATGATGTACTCAAAGTTACTGTAAAATTTAAAATATCTTAATCTACCAGTGCTCAGTAAACAAAGTAGCTTTTGAGGGTTGTGGGACTAATGTCTACTGTGACACTTCTGCAGGAGGCCGCTCTACGTTACGACACCAAGACTCCTCGCTATCTCCACATTGCCAGCAACAAGACCAACCGCTGGGGTCACCAGCGCTCCTACAGGCTGCAGGTGTTCAGCTTCACCGGGGATCACCTCCCAGAGAACCAGCCAGAGGAGAGGGCTATGTCCTGGGCCAGGTGAGAGCAGAAGTTTATTACTGCTCGTTTAATATTAGAATTTGTGTTAGACAATGTATGTATTACTGATACTATTAGGAGTGTTTTACAGATACTATTAGGAGTTAATATAGGATCCAGCAGCCTCAATTTTACCTTAGGATAAAATGTTTTGGTAAATAAATTGTTTTGAAAATCACAGTCAGTACCTGTTCTGCAGTCTCACCGGAAAGTAACAATGAGAGGACGAGACCCCCTGTGAACAGGGAAGTCCTGGGGTCAGACTGTATGTTTGTGTTTCTGTGTGGATTTTTGAGACAGGAAGATACATGTGCTGCCTGATGGCAGAATGCATATCCTAGATTTTATTAATTTTCTGACCATGCTCAGTTTCTACTGCGGTGGAAATTTGTTTAATAAAGCATACAAAGTATGAGCTTGTCTTTCTGTAGGGGTTTATTCAAGTCATCCATGAATGGTCTCAACGCAACCGTCACACACTCTCGTATGTGAAAGTCCAAAAGAGCCGAGATTGGCAGAAGCAGTATGGTTTTATCCCTGTTGGAGCGTCACTCTAACACAGTTACACATTCCTGAGTCCTGGGACAGTAAACAGACAGATAGTGTGGTGAGATGATCATGTCCTTGCCTTGAAGTCTCAACATCCCGCTGTTTACTTGGACATAGAGTGTAGTTAGAAACAGGGTTAAAGGTTGTATGCATATAATAGCCTCTTTAACAGTTGCGTATGGTTTTACAATGACCAGGTCAAAGGGTTGTATAGGTTCTTAAAAATTGTCATTACACTACTAATAGAGATTAGATAGACATTACTGAGTGAGTTTGCTGACCTTACGTTTCGTTTTTACTTATGCTATAGTTTGTTGGCGTTGGGGGGGCAATAACGTTATTCAGTGTGGCTGGGTTGCAGCTGACAGGCTAACCTTAGATATTGAAGAAAGTGAGAATTTTAGAAATGTTGTCATTGAACATATCTGTGGTTTTGCATAATCATTCAATTGCGACGTTCCTGTCTGATGCTAGCATTGAAATCCCCTATGAGCCACAAGGCATGGCTGAGCTGGCCATTCAATGCCATCTCACTCTCTGTGCCTCTTCTGTCTGTCTCCAGGTATAAAGTTGCCATCACCAAGCACAAGGACTTAGAGCAGACCAGCAGCAGTCTGTACAGTCAAAACAACATCTGGACTCCAGCTGTTGACTTCAGCACGTACATCAAAGATGACGAAAGCATTGAAGATGAGGTGTGTTGAGATGGAATCTGCGTGTAAAAATAATGATAAGATAATACAAACATATGAAAATGTTATATTAGCTGAGGGAATTTGCATGATGTGTGTAAAATGTGCCTGCAGGACCTGGTTGCCTGGGTGACCACCGGCTTCCTCCACATCCCCCACTCCGAGGACATCCCCAACACAGTAACAGTGGGCAATGGGGGCGGGGTCTTGTTGCGGCCACACAACTACTTTGATGAGGACCCGTCCATCCACTCCTCCGATGGGGTGTACTTTGACCCGGGCACAGAGAACAGCTGTGACAACAACAGGATGGCCTGCCTTGCCCAAGACACCTGCAGCCCCGTCCTGGAACCCTTCACTTACCATGGCTTCGATGGAGTCATGAAGTTTGAGGATTAGTTGTGATTGACTGAGGACTGCTAGGTAATAGTTAAAGAACCCTGATGAACACAGAGATGCGTTTGGGGTTATTAACAATCAATCAAGATGCTTGTGTCAGTGTTTACTGAGGCAGTATGGGACAGCAAATTATTTGCTACGTGTGTTTTAAAGCCACACCTAGCAATAATTTAAGTTTAAAGGAATTTTGGAAAATATGCTTATTATGGATGAGCAAGTACAACATTATACGGATCTGTATTTTTATCTGTACCAACTAAATCATATGTATTTGTATCCGTACTTGGAATGGGCAGAGCTTAAGCTAACGTGCATGGTGCTTAAACATAAGTGGGCAGGGCTACCTGTAAATTGTTGATTTAAGGCTCAAATTGATATGGGTTGATTTGGTTATATTTATTAGAAAACTATTCACAGAACAGCTTTAGAATTGATCTTCATATCATCATTTATTGATCGTAGGAATAAGATAATTATTTACCAGAAGAAAAAAAACGAAGGTGCTCTATTTATGAGTATGGGTATTGACACACTCGCGCAACCATAATGCTAATTCACTTTCTTAAAGAGAGGTTGTACTTAGCCTAGCTTAGCATTAAGACTAAAAGCAGGGGGAAACAGCTAGCCTGTCTCTGTCCAAACAGCGTACAGTTTTGAAGAGTTTGTTTTCACAGTGATATTGCCAAGTTTGGTGCCATTATGTATTTAAACCAAAGCTGTGCTCACAGACCATAACCCCCTGCTTTCAGTCTATAAATTGAAGTTATTATGATTATTATTATTATAGTGAAACTGTCTCCTTGAAGTTGCAGTGCTTTGGGCTGCAACTGAGGTTGGCATGTGCCGAGGTCCATTGTGCTGGCTGCCATGTTTTAGCTCATTAAACTATGAATCATGAATACTTTACATAGCTGCTGATGTCAAACTTTTAAAGCAATTTCCTATCCTCCATGTAGCCTTTGGTTTCTAGTCAGAGACTTGAACCATGCTTGAGGTAAATAATTCATGTCTTACAATGTTACATTATCACAAGCAGTTCAAAATGATCCTTTTAGACCTTTTATGACTTTATTTGAGGTTCAGGAATCTCCATAAATGCCAACTTGGTGATCCTTTAACAAGTGGCATCATCAGATCCAAATAGAATTTTTTTCAATATGTTTGTTTATGACCTATTTCTTGCAAAACCTGTTAGCAGGTTTTAGACTATAGGACCTGTGAATTAAAATAATAAAAAAAAGTTGTAGTTATTATTAGGTTAACAGGAACAAGGGCTTTGCCTCCTCGAGGTAAATTTTAGTAGGAAATGTGTTACTTTACTTTTACTTACACTGTTACATACAAGACATTTCTGCTTTTCGCTCTTTGTGTTTCTTACTGACAAACCACTGTGATATAAACTGTGATGTAAAGATTGTAAGCTGACACTGTACCGTCAGCTGTATGTAAATGTGTGCACTGATAAATATGATCATTCAGTCCAAAGCAGGATCCCTCTTTGATGTGGTTTGAGGCTGGGACTGCTGAATATCTGACGGACATCTGATTTAATTGATAGAATTTTGGCTGGACCGCAGCACAGCAGGGCCAGCCCTATAGACACTGTCCCTGACTGAGTGATGAAGTTACACCATTGGCCGTTGCTCTTTCAAAATGAATAGGAGCAAATAGTCCTGAATTATGACTTCAGCGTGAGCTTTGTTTATGCTCATGTGAGACACTGTGGCACAGGCTTGAGCTGAAAGAGGAAGGATTGTAATTAAGTGTAACTGCATATATATTCATTATACAATTCCTGTAAAGAAAGAAGTCGAGTATTTAGAAGAACAAATATTTTCGAATGAAACAAAGGTTGAATATCCTGTAAGCAATTTGATTCTGCTAGTTAAATATAAAATAATAACTCAGAAAAATCTGCGGTTTTTGAAGCATTTGAAAACAAATTGACATATTAATAGTAAAAATTATTTTTTTTACTTCGTAGTTTATTTGGTTTTATTGGAATTTGTGGTAGTGAAGTTCTCAGTTGTATTATAATGAACTAATGTCATGCTCGAACTCTTCTAATCTTCAAATCAAAAATTGGCAGGTGCACAACCTGAGCTGCCATGGTTCGCTTTTGTGTGGAACACTGCATTGAGCATAAACAAAGCTTTACCGCGGGGGGCGGACAGGCTTCAATTACGTCCTCAGGAGTACATTGGCCGTACATGGTCCAGCCATACGTACACTAGGTTTTGACCTATTGTTTTTACAGTGCAGCATTCTGAGAAATGTTGCTGTTGTTGATGTTTCCTCTAAAAATAAAAGCATTTATTTGTTGAAGAAAGGGTCCGGAGGTCTGCTGCATTTGGCCTTTGTCAAAACACACACACACACACACACACACACACACACACACATACATAAACATTTAAACAAAATTCTCATAAGATTTTGTAGAAAAATACATTTTGATTCAAATATTACTGTTATTCAGTATTGCTTTGAGGATATTTAAGGCTACTTAAAGCACTGTTACACAAAATAGAAGATGCTGAGAACACACACCACACACACAGATGTTTAGGTCCCACTCTAGCACATGGGGTAGAAATTGAAACCTGACCAGCAAAGTAAGGGTAAAAAACCGCCACACACACACACATATACACTCTACATACTTCATGGGAACAGGATCCGAGGACAGGATGTGAGTGCATGTAAGGTTCAGTGACTGTTTCTTGTGTGTGTGTGTGTGTGTGTGTGTGTGTGTGTGTGTGTGTGTGTGGCCCTTTGGTGAAGTCAAATATGATAAGTGGTTCTTTTCCTCAGACATTGAGTGAAATGTTAAGGCTTTCTTTTTCCTGCGACTTGAACTTGTCGGTGAACGGCAATGGCCGGATGTAAAAAACAAAGGACAGCAGAGCTCCCGTGCAAAATCCAACAAAAAAGACCAAGTAAAACCAGACAAAAACAGACTGCTGTTGATTCCAGTCCATTATAATGTCATACCCCTTAGACCAGTGGTGGAAGAAATACTTAGATCCTTTACTTAAAGTCCCCCTCCACTCAGAAATCAGTTGTTCTTCTTGTTCCTACAGTGGGCTGTTGTTATGTGTGTGCAGAGTTTGACACTAGAAGGATGTTTTCACATTCATCTGCTGTTCAGTGGAAAGTTTCTCTGTGTTCATTGAAAATCAGATTTTTAAGGGGCGGGGCCTACCAGCATGATTTGTGACATCACAAAGACTTTGGACGTCAAACCTGATCCAGTATCAACTTGTACATTGTGATGTAGAAACCTAAAGTCACAAATGCACATCCACTGAGAATGGACTTTACAGTGAAGTAGGAGACATCTTGTGTCCAGCAGCAAAACTTTAGATATGAACAACATTCGCATATTCAGAGATTCTGGTTTTTAATGAGGTAGAAGGAGGAGATTAACTTTTAAGGATTTTAATGAGAAAATAAAAATTTTATTTTTAGAAAAAAACATATATACAGACACACATTATTGTTAAGCAGGGTATTTGTATATATGTCTTAATACATGTCTGGAGGAGATGTTTAATAAAACTACAAATACAACAATGTAAAATGCCCTATTGCAAGTAAAAGTCCTGTATTAAATCCTACCTAGGTGAAAGTACAGAACTATTATCAACCCAATGTAGTTAGTAGAAGTAGTGGCTGTGCAGTAAAATGTCCCCAGTGACTGAATTTTTATTATATGACATTATTAGATTGTTTACTTATGCATCAACATGTAAACAGCATGAGCTGTCATGAGATGATTAATGGGAGATATTAGTTATTGAAATACATAACTGTATTTCATTCATATTTGTATAGCACATTTCAACAACCAGGTAATTCAATGTAAGGATTTTAATGAGAGTAAAACAAAACAAAATATAAGATAGAAATTGGCTAAAACATGATGAAACATTAAAGAGAATAAAAGATACAGTGCAGCTGCAGGGCAGTGCAAGATATGAATAGATAGTCCCAGCTTTAATTTAAAATGTAGTGGCGTTCATAACAAAGCAGCAGATCAAAAACGTATCTTTGGCTCTAAACCATTCAATGCTTTATAAATAAACAGCATGAATTTTAAAGCCATTCCCTTACGCACAGGAAGCCAGTTTAAAGATCTGAGGCCTACAGTAATATGATATACTCTCTCGGTCTTAGTGAGTACTCTAGCAGCAGAGATCTGAATCAGCTGCAGCTGTCTGGTCCACTTTCAGTGCTGGTCGAGCAGTCAAGATCTCTTTTGCAATGGACCCCGCAGATCAGCAGAGAGAAAGAGAGACAGACATAACCAGGCAAACAAAAGCACACAATACAAAGAACATACCAGACGAACCAAAATCACACACTGAAGCTATTTCACACCAAGAAACATTTGCTGGTAAGTAACAGAAAAACAGATGTACCTTTTATTTTGTACATTATTCTTTGCACCAGAAAAAAAAAAACTGTTGGCTTACAGAGACTCCAGTCTGCAGTGTAATGTAGTTCCATACACTTTACTGATAAATGAATTGCACCCATTTGAATTCCATCAATGTTGTGACACCAGGCCAAAAATCAATCAGTTGGAGGAGATTTGAAACCACGGACGACGAGAAGTTCATCTTGGAAGTGCTGCTTCCCATGTTAGCCAGTGTGTAGGTTTGAAGACATTATTTATTTGTGAAGGAGTTGTGTTGAAGCTAAAACAACCTGCATTAATTGATCCATCAAGCAGACACAGAGCAACATTGTCATTAATTTGGAGCTGTGTTTGTGTCCACCTGATGAATGTAAGTCCAATATTCACTCTCTTTTAGCTCTGTTTTTGGTCTCCACCAACTCCTGAGGGAAATATCTGGCTCTTTTTCTGCTAAATGTTCCACTATTTTCACCAGCTAGTCTCTGCTAGTGTCTGTCTGCTGTTGCATATAGTGAGCAGGTAGTGTACACTGTTTATCAGAGCTTCCTTACTGAAAACAGCTGCCTGTGGATGCTGGAGTGGGGTTGATGAGGGTGGATTTGTGGCTGTAAAACAAAAACAATGAGCTAAAGAGGTGAAAGGGCACCGTAGAGCTGAGGGGACTGCACGCTCCTGTCACATTATACATAGTGATTTGATCCAGCAGCTTTAAAGCAGTATTTTGTCTCTTAGTGTCTGACTGGTTGGACCCATTTGCAGCAAGAAGTTGTAAGAATGGAGAGTGATTGGCACAAGACTAGCTCATCAATATATCTCTCTATTGTGAATGTTACATGATTTTGTATAAACTACACTTCCCAAAAGCTACTGGAAAATGTAGTTAAACTAGTAGCGTAAAAGTTTTTCTACTCCCTAACAGGGTTGCATATCTGGACAAAAACTAAAACTTAAAATATGCTCAACAAGCACTTAATCTTTAAGTTCAAGTTCACTGGCCAGCCTGCCCCGCTCTATTTCTCATACCATTATTAGATGGTGCATAAAACACAGGAGAAACTGTATGTTACAGTTTAAAACATCTGGAACCTGTCAGTGAGGCAGCCAATCTAATCTTTTTAAACACACCCTCAACATTAATCACAGAACATTCTGATTGCGTAATGTGAATTATCAGGGTGAAATATCAAATGTTTGATGCTGCTGCTGATTCCTTAAAGGGACATTGTGTAGGAATTTCTCCTATCTAGCGGTGAAATTGTATTTTGCATTCAAACGAATAGTGCTCTCTAGTGCCTCGCGTTTTCAAATGTGTATTGCAACTACGGTAGCCGTTATGTACCAAGAAGCCTACCTGTCGAGGAGAAAGCAGGCAACTTCAGCGTCCCTTTGAAAGTCTTTCTCCTTCATTAGCTCTTTCCACCTGGGAAAAGCTACCCCGATGTTTACCCTCGTTTTTTGAATTTGCCGGTCACGTTGCCTTTTTAATTCCCTTTTCGCTTTTTTGGCGACGAGGATTCCTTCTCCTGTGGCTCGGCATAAGGATGATCCTCCATTATTACCTAAAGTGCAGTGCAGACTTTCAAATGTGCCGGGGCAGTGACAAGCGCCTCTCACTGATCTCCTTCTCAGTTATAGCTGGTTTCAGTCACGTGACGTTGGCTCTGAACGAAAACGCATTGTGGATTAGCTAGACAGGTAAGCTAGTGCTTTATGTCCCCCTCGGCGATTATAGTTTTTCAAAATGGTGGAACGACATGGAAGCCTCCATGGACTTGCCCGTCCAATGGATATACAGATAAGAAATTCTTCGCTTACAAGGATAAGTCAGATCATTGGTAGAGGTAATTTTACATCAATGAGGACACATTTATGAATGAAGACATTGATTTTAGCTAATAAAATACTTAAAACACTACACAATGTCCCTTTAAATGTTATTTATCAAATTCCACTTCACTGCATTGGGGTGGAGGCACAAATCTGGATATCATTAACCAAAACTGTCTGCAAGGCTATTAGATGGTACTGAGAAAATGTGTTTTTCATTTGGATTAACAAACCATTTAAAACCTCTTCCACGCCATCCCTACTTACCATAGACACACTTTTGTTTCATTTTAAGGAATATTAGGTGGTACAGTTGTCAGGTTTTCCAGTGGTCTCATTTCTGTCAGACCAAGATAAATGGACATAACAGGCAAACACAACCAAACATACAGTAGCAGACATGCAGAATTTAGCCAGAGAGAATAAGAATCCTGCAGGAGAATTATGTTACAAATCATAAATCATTGGATTTTCATTCCCTCTTCCAATAAAGGCCCAATAAGGTTATAGTCTCTGATTATGTGACTCACACACTTCAGAGTTCAACTGAGGATTGCCTTTTGACAAGACCTTGAATTCCTGGAGGCACTTTGGTTTCTTTACACAACCTGTAACACTGGATGTGTGTGTGTGTGTGTGTGTGGGTGGGTGTGGGTGTGTGTGCACGCGTGCATGCGTGTCAGTGTATGTGAGGTTTCCAATCAGATACAATAGGCAACAGTGAGCGTGAGAGTGGGCTTGATACAAAGAGAGCAAAACAAAGGCAACAACAACAAACAGATAGCTTCTATCTTGAGCCTGTGACCTACAGCTCTACATTACGCTGCTGCAGGATCTAATTTCTTACAAACGTTGTCTCACGGCTTCAGAAAAGTAAAATGCTGCAGTCAGTATCAGTCATCACCATATTTACCATTTTTCTCTGACGTCATGCTCAGGGTGGTCAGCTCACGTGCTATTATCAAAAGAATGTTTACTGCCGTTTGAGGATAACATCGCCATTCATAATCCTGCCTACAAAGCTGCAATTGGTGGGCAGTCTCTCCAACCAGAGAAAACAGTTGTTAGTATGCCAAAAACAGATCTATTAAATCACTGAGAAAAGGATAATATGGTGTAAATGAATGGTTGATATTATTCAAATTTTTCATATAGCAAAAGCTACTGTAAAACACACAATCCGTGGCCCCCCACTCCCCTGTCCAACTCCACCATTCCATGTCCATTATTGATTATTGATGGTTTACTTTCTTACTGCCCAGTTTTGTTTTTAGAAAAATAAATATTGTTGTATATAATTGAGATATAGTCTGGTGTTACAGTATATCCATTTATTTAGGCCTCTGCTTAATCATTAAAAATTGCACTTTTACATAACTTATAACTCATAGCAAAGGTAAGTCAACTCGAGCAGACCAGACTAAAATTTATGCTGCTAAACATTGTTACTGATCAAGCACCCTGGACCAACACAAACTGCTCCTGTGGTACTGTGACTAAATAACCACATAAGTTTTTGTTGTTTTTCCATGTAGCTTGACAGCTTGTCATTTTTGCCTCAAAACTGTTTTGGAGAGGAATGAAACTGAACACAATGGTTGGCCAATGCAAGGCTTATCGGCATCCTCATTGGAGGGCTGCAATTGTCCTCGCTACTTCAAAACAGTTTGTCGTATTGTGCTTTATTTTGTGTTTTGTATTTCCCAACCTCAATATTTGTCTAATTCCCAGATGTATTACTTACAATTACTTACATCAAGAAATTAACTACTTGTAATAAATGTTTATACAGTTGGTAGAAAAGGTTGTGGAGTCTTTCAGGGGACTCTCACAGACTTTTGCTACTCTTGGTAAAACACAGACATGAACACAAAAGAGTTAATCATAAGGAGAAAGTGCTGGAGGGATATGCGGAAGCAAATAATATGCATTTGGCCTGATATCAGCAGATTAATAGTAAGAAGAGCCAGCATTTTGCTTACATAAAGGGTAATGTGACTGTAAATTTAGACAGTGAATGATACACGGTGATCATTCTCGTGTCCATTTGTATGCTGTCATTGCTACTTTAACAAGACTAAAGCTGCATTTTCATCAAGCAATAAGTTTAGTTCAGTTCATTACACATTAGGTTGGTTCCATTTGACTGTTTTTATATTTAAAATAAATTCTAAATATATTAATCAAAATGATTGTATTGTAGTTTCATAAAAACAAAATCTAAATCACAACACAAAGGAAGAATCACATTTTAAGTCCTCCTTCTTCTGCTTCCCTGAGAGCTTACATCGAAGCCATGGTAAGTGAAAGGTTCCAGGACGGGGCTGCAGGGGTCTTGGGCAAGGCAGGCCATCCTGTTGTTGTCACAGCTGTTCTCTGTGCCCGGGTCAAAGTACACCCCATCGGCAGAGTGGATGGACGGGTCCTCATCAAAGTAGTTGTGTGGCCGCAGCAAGACCCCGCCCCCATTGCCCACCGTTACTGTGTTGGGGATGTCCTCGGAGTGAGGGATGTGGAGGAAGCCGGTGGTCACCCAGGCAACCAGGTCCTAGGGACAAAAAATAAATGAGTAATGAGGAAAGTACATTATATGTTTGATTTAATTTAATTTTCAGATTTGAGGAAAGTTGCCAAAAGAAACCCCACCCCACACACACACACCTCATTTACAATGCTTTCATTGTCTTCAATGTACTTGCTAAAGTCAACAGCTGGATTCCAGATGTCGTGCTGATTGTACAGACTGCCGCAGCTCTGCTCAAGGTCCTTCTGCTTGGTGATGGCAACCTTATACCTGGGAAAATACACGTAAGTGAGATTCCAGGGAGAGGAAAAGACTAGATAATGATGTGGAGATGCTGTTTAGGCTGAAGCCACAGTACAGAGTGGGGGGCACAAACTGATGATGAATCACATCCTGTCTGAGATCAAATTGCAATGGCCTCACAGGGAGCATGGTCTCTCACCTGGCCCAGGACATAGCCCTCTCCTCTGCCTGGTTCTCTGGGAGGTGATCCCCGGTGAAGCTGAAGACCTGCAGCCTGTAGGAGCGCTGGTGACCCCAACGGTTTTTCTGGGGGCTAGCAATGTGGAGGTAGCGAGGAGTCTTGGTGTCATGTCGCAGAGCGGCCTCCTGTGTAGTCAAAAATAAGTAATGGCAAGTAATGGATCCTGTAGGTGACCAATAAAAAAATATTCTGATGTTTTCCACACCTCCTCCCAGTTTTGTGTCCTTGTCCCTCATAGTCTCAATTAGATGCTGCAGACAGACATGTCCTACCTCTGTGACACTGGTGTTTCCAGCCAGTTCTTTTTACCTGCCAGTGATGAAACTTAACTGGAGGGAATAACCTGTGGGAGGCTCACCCCCAGTAGTTACAAACATCAGCGGGGATGTGATTAACAAAGCTATACAGGTTGTAAGTTGATTTACAGGAATACAACTATGAATTGGCATATTTCTTTGAAAGCCATGACATATTTTGGGTTCGACTGGGGAAGGGGCAGATGGTTGGCATGGAGACCATAAGGAGTGGTCAATATAACAATCATGTATGTATATTTAGGGGCTTTCCAAGTAAACATTGATATATGCTGATTTAATGATCACATACTGTATAGCAATGTTTGCTTGGAAAAGCCCCCACTGAAGATATTTTAACTCAAACACATTACATTATTGTGGCAAATTACTAAAGCATTGAATAGAAATATCTAGGGGTTATTTCCACATCTTCAAACATTTTTCCAAACACGTCTTTTTTTCATTGAACCTAAGCCGATCATTAAGTCTCAAATGTGTCCATAACACATATTTAAATTATATGTGTTCATTTCCGTTTTATAACACATTATATAAAAATGCTTCTATTAAATTTGACAGCATTAGACACCAAACTACCCCTCTAGATCCGCCCCTGGTTCATGGTGCTAACTGCTAGCAGGTGAAATGACTCTTTGAATTATCAGAATTAAATGCATTGCATCCAATAACAAGTCTTAAAGAAACATTCATGTGTGCGGGGAAGCAGCAGACTCAGCTAAAAAGGGACTCAGTCTTTAGACTTTCAGCCTGCTCTTCATGTGACCCTGCCAACCAGGAGCATTTATTTTAAATAAAATTCAACCATATATATGTTAGAGTTCACACTTTTTAGACTATATATATATAGATTTAAAACACTCAAGCACAAAACCTAGTTGTCTAATAATCGTATTATCTTCTGTTGTGATATATAAAACACAAATACCAACACATCATGACTGGTCATCATAACAGAAACATGACCAGCTGATCCGGTACAGTGTGGGAGAGCTGACCTAATTGGTGCTGCTGTTTGTCAGACTGCTGTAGAAGCTCTGTCACTCCTTCACGCCATACATTAGATTATAAAACTGGTTTAGATATTTATTACAATGTAGACACAAGGTATAAGACCTCCCCACTCCCTGTGTAGACATAAAGTTAAAAGATAAAACTTCCTTGTTGCTGGAATGCATGTCAATAAAACAATACGAGACATTATAAAATAAAAATGGTTTGTTGTGGGGAAAAGTTATGTGGGTTCACATAACTTTTCTTGCTAATTGCTGAACTTAAGTACAAAAACACTGGTATGCGTAAGTGTAAGTGTCACAGTTCTCTAAATATTGCATGTCTCCATTTTGTTTTACTTCGACCTACTGATAAGTTGCCAAAGCATCAAATACAGCAGAATGAACCTGTCTCAGCCCAAATGACGTAGACTAAATTTGGGTAAAGATGTAGAACTTTTTCAGATGTAAGTCCAACAATTATCCCTGAACAAATAAGCTTTGAATGTAGCACTTGAAGCCATGTACTTCCTTTGGTTAAAAACATCAATTTAAAAACATATGTGCAGCTAAGCGGCACATTTGCTTGCAGCCCTAAGGAACTGTCATGGTTAGAATGTTAAATACTGAAGTAACACTGCACCTGCTCTGTTTGCAGCTGTTTCTCCACCACCTTAGGGATCATGGCATAGCGTTCAGGCATCCAGGGCAGTGAGACATTCACAAACTCCATGTCTTTGGTCTGGAATACATTCCTTACTCCTGGAAAAGGGACATATGTATGTATGTTATTTTCACTTTCTGCTGTTATGCTTAGTTATTGTGCCTGTGCAACCATAAAATTTTAGGTTTTTCAATTATTATTTTAAAAATGTCTATCTCGACACACACCTAAAACATCAAGGTCCACTTTGAAGTTGAGAAAATGGGTGTGGATATTTCCGGTGACTTTTTCTGCCACTTGGTGACCATATGGAAAGCTGTTGGACAGTGTGAAGGACGAGGCAATGTAGCCGGAGGCATGCACCTTGGCCTCCACTGAGCCGCTCTGGTAGAAAATGAAATCCCACATGTAGTCATAGTTTCCTATAGCTGTGATTGTCCTGAACACTAAGGCGCTGTTTGCTAGTCCTCCATAACTCCTGTAGAAGTCCTCTGAGAAGTGCCTCCGTAGAGGGTGGCCCATGTCATGCTCAAAGATGCAAATTGAGTTTCTGAGCTGGCGTGGAATACCAGTGTCCAGGAAATGGAAAGTGTCTATAAAGGTGGCTGAATAAGGGCAGTCGACCCCCCTGACCAACTCATACGCAAACCGACCAATGCCCAAGCTGCCGTCCAGGAACTTGGTGAGCATGGTATTTGGGGTGGCAGACCCGTAGACTGACATGGCTTCCTGAATGCTTAGCTCATAGATGATCCTCTCCCCTCTGAAGCGAACGTCAAAAACTCTCATGCCTCTAAGCGCGCTCAGACCGAAGGCAAAGCTCCAGTCAAGGTATACGATGTGATTTTTCTTCAAACTGAATCTCTTGCCTTGTACATAAAACTGCTGGGGTCCAACACCCGTGGGTTTCTGCTTGGGTTTCAGTGATGCGTAATTTTGCACAGGTTTGTAGAAGACTTTTGACACAGTTCCTGCCTCGTATTGCTGTTTTAGTTCTGTGGGACTCTCAAAGTACTGGCCGTTATAAAGAACTTTGATCACATGCCAGGACAGAAAATTGGTGCTGTGGTGGTCGATTAAGATCTCAAAGCCCACTGGGTGGATGTAGAAGCCCTCCTCATTTCGACATAGTGAAAACCAGGTCTGTCTGTCCCCTGACTTGACTCCTCTGGGCATGCTGTCATAGAAAGGAGGGTATCCAGATGCATCTATACCGAAACTGTCATTCAGCAGAGTACTGAGGGGCTTAAGTACATCCTGCAGAAGTTTTGCTATAAGAATGTGCTCCCCAAAATATACCGGACGTGCAGTCAAAGGAAGCTCCCTTTTATATCTCTCAGTGGTGACATCGCGGTGGTAGGTTGCATTGGGGAGAGGGCCCACTACATACTCTTTTATTTGGTTCCTACTTCCATAAAAAACCACCACAGTCGCCTCTCTTGCTGGTTTTGGTCCGTTGGCATCCAGATGATGCAAAACATCCTGTTTTTTTGGCAGGGACAGGTCAATCAGATATAGGTAGTCAGCTGAAGGAGGTGAAGCCGGATCAAAAGAGAGGCCTTGGATCTTGGACATGTAGTCCCGCACCTGTAGTAACTCTTCCAACGAGAGGTCAGCAAAGACATTGCTACGCTCATTGTGCACCGCAGTTTGGCTCGAGTTTACCTGTTGAGCTGGGCACTGTGGAGTGTGTTGAGTGTTGAGCCATATCAAGACGCAGTTACCTATCAATGAGGCAACAGCTGCAAGAGCCAGAACGCATTTGAGGATAGTCCAAACAGTTCGAGAAACCATTTTGCTGCAGATGTACAACAATTATGGTTGAGGAGAAAGATTTTAGCTGTTTAAGGAGGCTGTGTAAAGGGGCAAGGCCAGTGATTTCAAAGACTGCTTTTACAACCTGTGAGGTGTTTCCTTTGATAAGAGACAGATAGCAGAGTACCCATGTATAAAGTTTTTGTGATGAATATTGGGTAGGACAGGAAATAACAATTCATACAATAGGTAGCAACAACCTTAGGATTCAGGTATGCGTTTCTCATTTTCTGAATGTTTAAGCAATAAACTACAAGGCGCCATACTTGAGTCATGTTAAAAAAACTTTCAAAATCTGGGTTATAGTTTTAGTCTTGAGTCTCCCTAAGCTAGCAATGGAATCAAATCAAAAGAGCCATTTTTGGCTATTCTGATTTGATTCCAGTGACAATCCCGAGCCATAATAAAAGACCCACTGAGATCTCTGCTTTTAAAAACTTCTGAAGGGCGCCTGGATAGCTCATGGTAATTGTGTCACTTTTTATGGGAGAAATTTTACTTTCACTTAGTGTAGATTTTCTGTACATCATATTACTCTTTATGAAGTACGGACATTTTGGGTTTTATGTGATACAGTATGTCTTAAAACTATTGGGTGGATTGTCATGAACTTTGGTACAGATATCCATGGTCTTTAGAGGATGAATTCAGAAGAACCCATTAAATTTTGAGCAGATCTGAACCAAGGGGTGGAAAGACAAATTATTTTTTACTTTCCTGAATACGTTTGACTCACTACTGTGTCTAATTACAGGCTTTTATTGAACAGCATGGCTGAGTTATAAATCTATTCTTTGATGAATAAACAACAGGGGTCAGTCCACAAATGAAAGTCTGAAACGCTGTGACAAAATTATATGGGTAGAGATTATCTGATGTAGGTTATAAATGCCAAGTAATCATAAAATTTAACAGCAACATTCAAGTAGTTCTATTGTTCCAAGTTAAGATTCTTATCCTTAAAAACTGCTTGTTTGGCATTAAAAAGTTCAAAAGGCCAATTGACTCATCGCCCAATACAACCACAATGTACTATGTGTGCAAGAGCTTTATTTTATTAGAAACCAATACATACTAGCCAACAACTTCAACCAGGTGCTGAGATTTTCAGATGTTGTCAAAACACCTGCTGATATACAGTATGTAGAGCATCTCCACGAGCTGTAGGTGAAACTCATTCATGATAAGCTAGGCACACTCCAATATATTGTTTGCAGTCACATTGAATGTAGAAATTCACAATGAAGCAGGGAGTCAAATGCAAAATATGAGACGGAAAGAAGAAAGCCCATAATGTGCTCTTTATTGTTAATCATTGTGTAGTCCAAGACAAAACATGTGAAATCTGGAACCTACTGAAACCTATTTTGGGGTCACATTTTCTTTTGACCACAAAATCCCCCAAAAAGTGGTCATTCCCTCAAGGCATTCCTGAGAAATTGCGTTCACAAGAATGAGACGGATTTACTGGCCTGAAAACATATTGCCTCTGGCCACGGCTAATAAGATAATTGATAAAATAGATACTAGATGCCAGTAAATCCTGCACACTGGTCCTTTAAGGCCCCGTGTTGTAGAGGGTTTTAACAATCTAGTTTTGATACCTTTTGATAGTTTCACTTGATGTAATGCTTACACAGTGCATATTATAATATATCGAAGTGCAATCATATAATAGTAAAATATCACAAGCTAACTTGGGTATATGGGGGGAGCGGAACAGGCCCATGATACAGACTGGAAGGATGAATGAAGCCCTGCAGGCTTTTGGCCGTCTGTTTTTTAAAGTTTGTATGATAGTAAAGGGAATCAGTGGCGTACATTCAAGTGCATTTTTGATCAACAGGATCTAGTTCTGACAAACATGTTGACAGCACAGTTAATGTCTCCCTTTCCCACAATGTTAAGATTTGGGAAGCCTGCCCTGGCAAATTAACTTCCTGCCAAGTACATGATGCTTTTGGATTTATTCCAGATGTGATGTGTGAAGGGTTAATAACAACCAAGACCAATTGCTGCCATGTAAAAAAAAGCAGGTTAGGAAACTACATGGGTTGCAAGTCATCAAGGCTCTGACATGGTTCATGTGAAGTCTGTGCTTTTGTATCAACACACATGATTTATACTGTCGTCTTGATTATCAGACAATAGTACTAGTTATAGATGGTTCTGCAATGTGATGAGATGCCACTTAATCTTACTGGTCCTTTAATCCCAAAAGTTTAAAAAATAAACTTTGACTACTCGGCTACGGATCAGAGCAGAATCCAGCATGACATCCCGGTGTTTACTCCTCCAGACACTCCGGCTCTGCCCCTGCTATCTCTACCAAGGGCCCCAGCCAGGGACTCTGGCACTAGCAGCTGTGGCATAACGTCATAGCTGCTGTCTCTTCACATTCGGTTGGAAATGTTAGTTCATTTTTTAAATGTTTAAACATTAATGAATGATAATTCTGGCCAAATTTTACACATTGCTCGTTTAATACAGTAATCAGATGTCCATGACTGAAAGAGTTATTGGTGGCGTGACTAACACGCTAACAACCTCATTCCACTAGTTGAACATTAAACAGCATCTTATCAAACACTTGATCGTCATTATGAATGTGCTTGCACCATGCAGTTGCATAAACAAGGACACAGTATAAACAATCAGCATTACCAGAAAGAGAGGTCAATCCCACTGTGTCTCTCTAACTGTCTGGATTTTGCATGTCAGACTTTGATCTGATTGAGCTTTGCACAAAGCAAAGGCTGGGTCTGACAATAATACTTCTTGTAGAAATTTCCTCATTAAAATAAAAAAATGAATGCTGAGTGAAATCGGGTGTGACTGCAGCCACGGTTTAACTTAACCCTAAATTCTGCTACCTCCCTCCCTTCCAGCAAATGTAAAAAATGCCACAGTGTGGTGACAATAGCTGCCACAATGTACATCACCTGCCTCCAGATCAGCCAATAGTTCAGTTCAATTGCAATAGTCAGTTTCAACTGGGTTTCCACCGTGGACATATGTTTAATGAGACATTAAAGAGCATGCTCCAAAAAGGTGACCCTTTAAATCTCAGTGTCAAGAATGTTTTCTAACAAACAGTGTGACAGAAGAAGCTAGTCAATTCTTGAGTAGGAATTATGTGTATTTGAATAGATTGTATATTCTCTCTAATGACTCTAATAATCTCTTTTTTCAGCTAGTAAAGGGTGACCAGAGTGGTCTACTGAGGCATTGCTTACTAAATTAAAATCGCTTATCAGGTTCATAGCATAGCATCTCCAACTGGGCTGAAAAAAAACAACTAATCTTCACATCAAGATCAAGAATCCTTCTGGAGTTGCTTAATGATTAATTGTGCAGTCCAATCTCTGTATATCAGGCTAATTGCTACACTACAGTGGAAGAACTACAGCTGTTTTCGGAAGCACTGACGAAAGCTGTCTGTATCCTTTTTGAGAAATAGGTCCCTTGACAGTTTCAGGCCAACCAGTGGAGGATTGAGTAGAGTTGGAGTTTTAAATTCCATTTCGTAGACAGTGGTGTGTCCATAAAGTTTGAGAGGCAGGGGGAAAATCTGAACAAAGCGAACCTTCTCTGGGTCAGCAACACAGAGCAAAAAAAAGAAAACCAGGAAAACCATTTAAAAACAGATGGTAAATCCTGGGAGAGGTACAGGATCTAACTCCAGATAACCCAGACAGGAAGAGAAACCAGCAGGAACCTCTGAGCTTCAGTCCCTGCAGAGAAGCAGATGGGAGGCAGGCAATGTAGGTGCTCTTTTTTAACACCAGCGTGCAATCGGGGTACTTATGGGAAAATAGTCTGAGGTCAGGTCCCAGAGTATTGGAGAGCCAAAACTGAAGGTTACGTGCCAGAAAGCATGTCAGTGACTGCAGCGTAAGGCCAAAACCAAACATCTGTAGTAGCTGATTGTGTGTATGTGTGAGTAAGACATATTTTTTTTAAATGCATTTTTATAGCTTCCTCTGGCTCACTATGGATCCAGATGGCTGGTGTTTTACGTATAGAATAGTGAGCACCATTCATGTTACAGGATCATGAATCGTTTTGTGATTATAAAATCCCAAATTATCACATACTCCATAATGAAAGCTAAGAACTGTGGGTCAGTGCTGTTTGACCCACAGCGGATGTTTTGTGTTTACGTGGGTTTGTAGGGGTTCTGACGAAGAGCTTCAGAATCGCTGTTTCTGGGTTACTTGATATTCTCGATCAGGATCATATTGTTGAAGGAGTAGAAGTTCATGCAATTGTTGTTCTCATTTGTTTTATTAATATTAGAAAGCAATGATAGAAAAAACAAAAACACAAGGTCAAGTGCTGACAGGAATTTTGTCATATTATTATATTATATCATATTCTGTCTGATAAAAGATGCCGACTGGCCCGCAATTACTTTTATGTATATACCTTTTCATGATGCTATCTTTCCTTATTATGCTTTTATCTTTGTTATTGATTAGTCTTCATGTTCTGTGATAAAATGTGGGTCTCCATCAGAAAGCGAGAGGTTTGAAAGTATTAGTATAAGAATGTTTTGAGAATGTTGGACACATAACTGTTTATTTGGTTTTGGTTTATTCACGTTTTCATTATCATTTTATTACTCATGTATGCTCAACCTAAGTATGCCTTATTTATTTTACGAGCATTTAACCCTATCATATAACCATTTTATTTGTTCGTTGTAATCTATGTTACTATACATTCATATGTGATTCAAGTATATCAAGTATGTTGCCTTTTAAACATCTTTTGCATGACCACAAAACTGCACCCAGAAAGCTAAAGATAGAACAGCTCTAGCCTTTTGAACTGTGCAGGTGCATCCTGTACTGTGGGGGGGGGGGACAACCACAGTACTAGTGAAGAGTGGTTTTCTACCACAATACAAGGAGTGGTACGTGGTCTGCAACCACAGTACAAGCAGTGGTAAGTGGTATTAGTGGAAAGCACTCCAC